AAGAATCCCATTCCAGCAATGATGATAGCCGTGAAATGGTACCATTGTGTTTTGGCAACATCAAGTGCATTTAGAACTTGAAGCGGCTCCTTTCCCATTGCTTACTTTCTCCACACAAGCTAAGAGGGAAAAAAGAAAAGAGAAAGGAGTAGATGATTGTGGAAAGAGGGTGGAGCCTGAAGATGAGAAGAGCAGAGGTATAAATGAGAAAAGGGGTTGAAGGAGATGTCAACATTGGAACCTCTTCTTCCTGGTTTACCGCAAACGGCCACAACAACAATAGCATAGCACAGACATAGCACAGCACAGACGTAGCCCAGCGCGCCAATTTCAGTTCCCGCTCGCCCCCTTTCCCCTTTCTCGGGCCATTTTCTTTTTATTAAAAGAAGTAAAACTAATTTTTTAAATAAATTTTATAGCAAATATTTCAAACCCTACAGTAACATGGTTTACTAAATTCGTATTTAGAAAAATTAGATAAATTACCTTCTTATTTTTAAAAATTTTAATTTAATATTGAATTCTTATTTAGAAAAATTATTTATTTATAAATCTTACCATAACTCATACTCAAATAAATAGAAACTCGACCTCAAATTTAATTGGATTAGTAATTGTGAGCAGAAAAATTATACTTTTAAAATCTATATATAATTCAATTTTTCTTATATATATATCTATATATATATTCTCTTCCTTTTCATAATAAAACCCTAGTTTTCTCCGTGGGAAAGGCAGTGCTAGATGTGCCAAATGTTAATTTAATGGCATTATCAAAATTGATGGGATCACATCTAAGATAAAATGTGAAATTCAATGTTCCAATAAACACTCAATTTTAGGATAAAAGGTAAAAATCACTGGTAAAAAACAAAACAAAACAAAACATTTATTTACTCTCAATAGTAAGATTTTAGAATTGTGTAATGGAAAGGGTAAAGTTAATGGGTTCAAATAATACTTTGTTTGAGGTGTTTTCCGAAGCTAATTAACATCATAATTTAAATATTAAGCATTTATGCCGCCATTGTCGAGTTGGGATCCCTCCCTCGCCAGCCAGAGAAAAGAGGGAAACAGATAGTAGAGACATGATTGGAATCTGGGAGACTGACGAGATTGAGCCCCCACCTCGAGTTCACATGCTCCGGTGGGATGATTTTGACGAGAATATACCAACCCCGAGCATTACTCCCTGAATGCCCTGTAAGTGTTTCATCCTTTACGAGCATGTTTAGAAACGAAATACTGAAATTTAGAGAAAATAAAAATAAAGACAAAATAATTTAAAACAATGAAATGCAAAACAACCTATTCTAACCTAAGACTAAAAATTTAAATGAGTCTACTCTATGCACGTGTCAGTCTCTGCTCGCGATGCTGCCGCCCTCAGTACAAGTGGACCCTACCTTTACCTGAAAAATGACGGGGCACTTCCTGGGTATTTGCCATTTGCACAATCAACAAATAAAGGGTAAATAGCTTAAAATATAGATCATTTTTATAACTTGTACTAAAAATAGTCCAATATATGGTTTTGTTAAAAAGAAGCAACCATTTTATATATAAGCAAAGCAGAGTATTGGTTTAATGTTATTGAACTATTTGGGAAACATTGGGCAACAAAAGCAGTCAAAATCACGGACAGAAGATGCAAGAAAAAGAGTGATTTGCAATTTAGAAGAAAAATTCAAAAAACACATGTGAAGTGGTTGGGGGTGGATTGGATGAAACCCAACTGGAGAAACTTTTGGTACAGAATACTTACATTTCCACTTTTTCTGATAACTTCAATACAGATGCTTATTTGGGGATGAGATCTGAGCGACATCATCATCTACCTCAACCAACCAAATTATGAACCAAAACAACATCGAAAGAAACAGGATGTCAATGTCACAACCATAAAGCCAAACCAACTTCATCTACGTTTTCATCCGCATATAATATGAATTAACAGTACATGGAAAACGAACACACATAAATAAGGCCCGCACCAGATGGTTCTATATTATACAAGATTAGAGTAAAAGATGATCTTATTATTAGTATTGTATTTCGAATCTAGCTTGCACAACCTTCAAACTATTCTTACAAGACTATCATTCGACCATACATGGTTCCTAAGGTAACTTGTAGAGCATTAAATCTTAGCTAGAGAGGTTATCACTAATACACAAACCCATTCCCTCCGAGTCCTTTGTCATTTACCTGACTTTATTGACTACTGAGCCTCCAAGTCCTTTATCATTTACCTGACTTTATTGACTACTAGGCAATCTCACGGTGGTCGTAAAAGATGATATTATTACTAGTCCATGTTGGGTATTAACTTTAGAGTCCAATTATTAATCCTCCAGCAAATGGCATCCCCCTTTGCTAATAAAGATAAAGTATAGATCTCACTCGCCGTTAAGGAAAAACCCAACAAGAAATATATAAAACAAAACAGAAACCAACAAAGTAAGAGAGAGAGAGAGAGAGTCACATGCATGATTTGGCTGGTTTAAGATGGTGGGTATTTCTTTCTCCGAAAGTTTGTTAGAAGCCATGCACATGGTCCCCAAGAGACTGCTCACTAACTTTGTGTTCTGCTGTCTTCATCTTTGCTATTTCATGGAAGATTTTTGAATGTGAGAGAGAGAGAGAGAGAGAGAGAGCTGCATAAAGTGAAAAAGTCATAAGGTAAATTTTAGAGCTACACATTAGCTTGTCTGCTGGTGAATGGCGTGGGGCTTCATAATATTCAATTTTGTCTTACCTTTGGACCACTGCCACTCTGCCATCTCATTTTCTTCAAAACCTTGCAATCACATAATAATCAACAGCAACAAACTCTATTTATATCCCCTTACCTATTGCCCTCCTCTTCCTTCAAATTACTACATCACAAACTCTCTTACTCTGCCGTGCATCACCAGCAGTTGAAGCTGCCAGCATGATCTAAACTTCTTCTTGCTCTTCACACAAGGAAAGATCAGATCATATGGTAGCTTCACCTTTTGGTGGTATCACGAATATTCCAATCCCCCTTCTTCTCCCCATCATTGAACCCCAACCCCCCTATTTTCATTTCTTGTTGCTGTGTGCTTCATCCAATTCCTGTATATCAAAAAAACACACTTCTTCATTCTCTTGTGTTGCAGGTTGGTTTAATTTATAATTTAGTCGTAGGAAGAGTTAGGGGCGAGAGCAATGGAGATTGATCTTCAGCTTTGGTTACTGTTGGGGTTTTGAGTCACAGAATTTCTCTTATCCAAAGAGTTTTGGTTTTGGTGCTTTCCAGATTCCCCTTCTCCATGCTTATTGCTTTCAACTTTTTAGAAATCATTTCTTTCTAAAATGTATTGTATTGTATATATAAGTATTCCATCTTATATATCATCATCTTAAAAGCTCCTGTGGGACTGTGATTCGAATACTTCATCTTAATGGGATTATTTTTTTGTTTTATTCCAGAGGGAGTATTAAAAGAAAAAAAGGGTATTAAAAATGTTAGAAATACTGTTTCCATGTGTGTTGGAGGCATTTTATATTCCATTATTCCCAAACATGAACAGTTGTGGATGTTTGTTTTTTGGCGCTTGTCTGAATGAAGGACTCGAGAAAACCTATATTCCACTTTTGAAACAGTATACAGCTACACTCTTTCCTTGCCCTCCTACCATTCTTGTCTTCACTTTGTATGCATTTTCAATCACTTTAATAAGCTCATTTCACCTTTTCATCCCTTCTCTCTCTCCATCTTTTCTCTCTCTTAACTCTGCCGCTGTTAATCTCAACCACACTCGTTTCCTATAATTCATCATGCAATTCTAGGCTTCTTAACCTCAAACTTCACCATACTAAGCATATTAAACCGATACCGACCCAAAATAAGTAAACTTCTCTGGCTAGTGGGAGTGGTTGAGCCCAATCCACAGCTCTCTTTGGAGATCGTTCCAAATTAATGCATCAAATTCTGCCCAAACCTTTAAACTTTATTTTCATAATTTCCTCATTAGTTTTCAGAAAACCAATCGACTAAGTGATAGTGATGGTCTATTGCAACTTTACTACAGAGTCTCCAAGAACAATGCCTTAAAGTTGGTTTTTAACGTTACGGCGAATGGTTGATTTAATGTGAGTTAAACTGAGGGTGCCATATTCATTCAATCGCCTCCTTGTCGCTGAAAAAGGGATTTTCTAGTTTCCACTTGGAGCAAAGATGTCCAAATGTCATGACGAGGCATTGAAACTATGATAGCATGCCAAACGGGTAGGTCTGAATACACCTGAGAAATAGGAGAATGTTTCAAGGTGTTTGAGTTTTCTTAGCTAAGTTTAATGTTTCAAGGGTTTTTTTTTTTTTTTTTTTTTTTTTTTTCGTTTTTCTGTATGTAGACACATTTCTTTCACAAAGTTGGTAGAAAAAACATTCTTATCCTAAAGTTTAATAAAAAGAAAAACCTACATCGTATTTAAATAACAAGCATTTATACCTTTTCCCACACAATTGCTCCTACACCAATGTATTTTCACAAAAATATCTCGATTATTTATCATCTTCATACATATATATTGTACCTTGAGTTATTAGGTGGAAATGAGTATCAATTTCCATAAATTCCAATCAATCTGCCATACAATCTAAATCAATCAAATTGACTATAGTAAGTATTGAGTTATTCAAGCAAACCATTTTCGTCAAACTCACATTGCTTTAATCACAGCAGCCATAAAGGATCAGAATCAAATTATGCACTGAGCAGCTGCTTTAATTTGGATGCATTGTCCGCCGTAGTCATCACTTAATAAGGATTTCATCACGAAGGATGGGTTTTTATGTGGTGATGACTGTTGAATCAGCACTAGATCAAAAAGCCTAACTCAAGCTATTATGCTTGACTATTAATTTTGATTCATGTGATCCACACCTAGAAAATAGTGGTAAAGGAATTCAAACTCCCAAACTCTTACTTTGATATCATCTTAAAGAACTTAGAAGTTTAATATTCAAGTTATTAAAGAAATAGGATATCCATCCTAAAGAAAACAAAATATTCCATAGAAGGAGCTCTTCTAATTCATCATCTTCCGTAGGTTTTTTAAGAACAGTCTGGCATTTTTAAGCCGTACAGAGAATTGGGAAGAAAAAGACTAAAATTTCAAGGAAATTAATTGCCAAATTAACTAAAGTAATATACTAAAATTAATTTAGCTAGACATAAGTGTAATCAAACCGACACTACATTATTATTCCCTACACCAGTCACTTAATCACTAGAAATAAATGCTTGTGAACCATGGAATTTCCAAGAAACTGACCCGTAGATTGTGGTATGTTTGGCCGTCTTAACAGCATTAGGCATATGCAAGAAACTGTCCTGCAATGAAATAGTGAACGATTAGATTATATTGTTTTCAATAATCAATACTATGCCAGTTACAACAGATACTGCTACGATTATGCATCCTAATCCTATAAAAAATAAAAAAAAATAAAAAAAAACAAAAAAAAAAAACACAATTATGCATCCTTATTTAGTAATGAGATTGCTGGGAGGTCCTAGAATGCCATTTGTTGTCAGTATTTCTATATTTGATCATGAAAACAATGTCATCAACGTGTAACCACAGCCAAACCACAATGTGATTTATCAAGAAACTTCGATTTCATATAATTCAATTGTCTATGAATTCCCGAAAACAATCAATAAGGAAAATATACCTTCATATCGTCCATCTTCGATTGAACCATTGCAGCAGTTGTTCGTCCACCGTACATGCTCCACCAGATCGGACCTTTAAAAAAAAAAATCCTTCATATCAAATGTTTGTTGCGATACACAGAGTTTACTATCAAAATCCTCCCATGAAGGGCAACCATTAAATGATACAGCGTCACTAGCACCCATTCAAGAAAAATAATTGTCAAACAATTCATTAGCCCGATAAGTCGTCTTATCAAGACCAACTCCAGAAATCTTTCGGCCGATCTCAAACGAAGGGACAGAAAATTTTTTATCAGCCATTGAAGCCCAACAAATCCACATCTTCGCCTCCTTCTCTGTTATATTTCTCCCCCTCGCTACAATTCTAGCTTCCATGAACGGTTTAGAACACTTCTCCTTCGCAAAACCGACACACTTCTCCTTCGCGCCAGCCAAACAAGCCTCCATTTCGCGCTCTTCGCACAGCTCCCTATCCTTCAAATCCAGCCCTTTCTTCGACTGTATCAAAAAACTCCACCACGGGCGCTTGCATTTGTTGATAGCAGTTATTGAGCAACCGATCCTCGCGCCGGCCTCGCATTGTTCGATGATTTTAGACTCGCAGATTTTGTAGGCAGATTTCCAAGCTTGAGGATCTCTAAATGCAAGCAAGTACGGACCTGCCGATGGATTTTCAGATCGACCGGATCGAATTGGTCCGCGAAGAAGAGGAATTGGACGTTGGAAGGTGATAATCGTGGTAGCAGCGGAGTAGTCGTCGGGATTTTGGGGCTGCGAAGGCTCCATCATCGGAGGGTTCAGAAAGCTCATCGTCACCGTCCACGTTAAACTTCTGGAACAGAGAGATTTTATTTTAATTTTTAGGGACAATACAAGGGAAAATATAAATCTAACCTGAACCCTTGCTTTTAAAGCTATCAAAAAAATATTTTTGGAATATATCTAATTAGTTAAAAAAACATATTTAATATTTAATTTTTTATTATTATTATTATTAAAATTGTAGGTTTTTTTTTATTTGAAACTTAGTTTTGGTACAAAGTTAAACTTAAATTTTGATCAACTGTGTTTATGTGTTTATGGTTAAGACTGATACTACTGTCAAGTTTTAAGGATAAAATTATTATTATTCTTTTTTCTTTTTTCTTTTTTCTTTTTTCTTTTCAAAGTTCATGTTAAGTCAAATTGTTTAAAAATATTTTTAAAAACATAGAAATTTAAATTGAAGCTAGAAGTCATAAAAAAAATAAGACGATAATAAATTATTATTATCATTGAACTTTATTGGTACACAGTGAGGGCAAATGGTATGAACAAACATGAATGAAAGATTGTTGTTAGTGATGTTGAGATGGGATCAAGTGATTGTCATAATGTTGGCAAACTCTTCGTAACTCACTCTGCCATCGCCATCCAAATCCGCCTCTCGAATCATTTGTTCAGCCTCCTCATCTGTCAATCTCTCTCCCAAATTTATCATTACATTTCTCAGCTGCACATTCACTTTCTCGGTAAGACGTTAAGCTAATTAATTTCACACAATGAATGAATCAATGGAGATTTTAAAGCATTATCAGACCCTATTCAGTATTCACACAGAAATGGATTGAAATCTTACCTCAAAAGCTGAGATATAACCATCTTGGTCCCTATCAAACACTTTGAAGGCCTCTTTTAGCTCCTCCGTCACATTGCCCTGCAAAACCCAACTCCTCCTCAGCCTCCATGCACACTAAAATCCCTATCACAATTCATTTCTACCCTTTGCGTTTTCCTTTTCTTTTTTTTTTTTCTTCTTTTTTTTACCTTCACTTTCCTTGCCATCACATTCAGGAACTCATCAAAATCTATCGTCCCATTAGCGTCCACATCCACTTCGCATATCATATCTCTAATTTCATTCTTGGTGGGATGTCCATCCAATGACTGAATCACTGCCGCTAGCTCCTCCACAGTGATGAATCCTGCAAATATCCCCACCAACATATTTTAACAATCACTATAAGCCTTCACTCTTTCTAAACTCAAAAATATAACTACTTCTTTCTCACAAAGAATCTTTAAATCTAATTTTGACTTGTAAAAGTTGAGATTATTACAACCCAGTACTGATTAAAAACAGAACATCCATCCTCAAGTATATCCTCCTTTCGCAGAACCAAAAAAGTGTAATGAATAAAATGTAAGTTTCAGCATCATGCTTAATTCAGGAAAAACATCAAACAGGAGGTGGGCAAAAGCAAAAGCAAAAGCAAAAGCAAAAGCGAAAGCAAAGGGGAAGAGAGAAGAATGAACCCACCATCCGCATCCTTGTCAATTAAACAGAAGGCTTCCCGGAAATCAGCAATCTGATCTTCAGTAAGAGCTTCAACCGCCATTACAAGTTGGGTCGCTGTTGTGAACAATTAGCAGAAACGAAAACGAGAAGAAGAAAACCAAGGAGGTGTAATGCAATGGGACTCCACATAGTCTTATATACATGTTGGTGAGCCAGAAAAGAATAATATTGTTGATTGTTCAATGAGATTTGGAATAGTCAAACGAGCTTAAAGAAGACTACAATTTTCTCCTAAAAAATTTCTCCGCTTTGAATGAGAAAATTTCTAGATTGACAGCCTTTGTTGGACCAAAATAAAATAATAAAAGCTCAACTGCATGCAATTGAGATAACCCCCAACCCCCATCCATTTCTGGGGGTCAACTAATTAATTCGGCCCTATAAAAGTGTCCAGTCCATACTTCAACACAACCCATAAGTGCCGTAGTCTTCGGATCTCCCTGTACTAAATTAAAATTGTTTCTTTACTATCTAATCTATCCTCCTCAAATTTTTATAATGACAATCCACACAAAAATGTATGCATGAATATATGTCTGCACAATTATTTTAGACCAAAGTGAACTCTGAGTCGGAATTATTTCGGATGGCTCCCGAAGTCATTCTGACCTCAAGATGACGCTATGAGCTTTAATTTGGAAGAATTGATTCCAAGGAAGTTTTCTGATCCCTGCAAAAGTTCCAATCAAAATCATACACATTTCTGATGGGTATTCAAATTTATTGTCAAAGTAGAAAGGACAACAGCAAGAAACAAACAGTACTACACAACTTGCAAACTAAAATTGCATGTGCAAGAGTAGAATATCAGCTTCAACCCCTCTTTCGAACTCAGATTGGTTGACCTTTTGGAACAATCTGATCTTTGATCCACATGTATATGGGAACCAGCACATAGTATGTAGATGCCATGGCTCCCAGAAGGAAGCGAGCAAGAAACACGAACGGGTTTACAGGTTTCGATACATCCTCTTCCTTGGGACCAAGCTGCAAAGGAATTCATTTAACGCTCAGGGAAGCCAATCTTAGAGTAAAAACAAACTTACAAAGACAAAACACTTGTGTCAACAATGGTTACTATGACATAGTGAAAGATCTCATCACTCAAATTTTATGTTCTCAAAGTCTTCAGACAGATGATCATGTTCATAATTCTTGTGGTTAGACTCAGTGTACATGTTCCAAGTCACGTTTTCAAAGAACTGATTCCATATGATAACCATGCATTTGGTTTTTGCATATGTTCAGGTCAATACTCGTTTGTGGGTAGACTGAGTGTACATGTTCCAAGTCATAATTCTTGTGGTTAGACTCAGTGTACATGTTCCAAGTCACGTTTTCAAAGAACTGATTCCATATGATAACCATGCATTTGGTTTTTGCATATGTTCAGGTCAATATTTGTTTGTGGCTAGACTGAGTGTTCACATTTAAGAGTCTTGATTTCCAAGAACTGAACCCAAATGAAAACCATAAATATACCGGTTGGTTTTTTCCGGTGGATCCAGGCAAAGGTGCAAAGCAGAATCCCAAAAAGTCTTGGGGTAGCATGAGCCATGTTCTAATATGTAAACGGAAATGAATTTGGAGGAATTAAAATAAAATATGCAAACATGTCAAATACAAACCGAAGGTAGTAAGTTCGCACTTAAACTAAGGTTCAATCTCTATCTCACCCTCATTTGTCAAGGACTTAAAGTTTCAAGCATCATAATAAACGGAAACCATCTGGATTTTCCTTGAGCCAGAAGTCTGAATTTCAGTGTCAAAACTCACAGAATTCTGATTAAGAATCTTTGAGATGAGAACACTTTTAATTAACCAGCTGCAGCGTCTAAACAGAAGAATAAATAAGCAATTTTATACCATATTATTGCTCTATTACAAACTATTTCTCTCAGTTGAAAAATCCTTTCATTATCGTTCTAGGTCTCTTCAATTGCCTTCTTTAAACTACTCAGGAAGCAGCAAGTATTGAGTGCAAAGAAGTAGTACAAGAATGTACTTGTACGAGCACACAATTCCTGACAGATGGTAGTCAGGAAAGGAATTTCTGACTTTTTGTTGCAGTTGTTGTTTTGTGTGTGTGTGTGTGTGTGTGTGTGTGTTGGTGAGGGGTTTTTTAACAATGGAAACCACATAATAGGTAAAAAAACAATTCATCCAGCTCCCTGTCATTCTTGACAATGGTTATAACACAATAGCAATTCAGATATGCTTTATGAGAAGCCTTGCGACAACCTACAGCATAAGTTGAAAATGAAGAAAAGAATTACCTGCAAAGGAGAGTCACCAGAATAAGGTTTCACACCAGTCACGGAACATCCCATGATTAGACCATGGCGACGAACTCCTCGGTACCATTTTGGACCAATCCTTTTCAATTGGACGTCCTTAAATCCAGCATTTGTGAACCACTGAATATACTCTTCTTCCTTTGGGAAAAGCATCCACACATCTGCAAAGAAGCGAGACAGCCAAAATGTTGGGTACACTGGACCAATTAAACATGCTTTTCCTCCAAGTTTGAGAACCCTGTATGCTTCTTTGATGCCACGCTGTGGATCTGGCCAGTATTCAATACTGAGCGGAGATATCAGAAAACAAGATCAGAGATACCATTAAAACTCTCAACATCCCTTTTTCTCTCGCATATAAAAAGTTAAACATATAACACACGCAGCCCTTGTACTAAAAGCGACTTCTCTGTCCTCCAGCTATAATCTCCTTATATCAAAAGGCTAAATTGCAGATTCCTTCGGTTAGACTTGAGCTTTATTGATCCCCAATCCACCATCAGCCACATACAAAATTTTTAAACAAGTTATTGCTCAAATGGGAATGACTCACTTCATATTCTAATTTGTTTCTATTTTAGAATGTTCACTCAAAACAAGATCCTCCAAACCCCTGTTCCAACCAGTAAATCAACATACATAGTTACACATTACAAAACAACATTCACAAAAAAACCCATAGTAGAGTTTCAGCAGTTCACCTTCCAGCAGATACATATCTATCTGCATAATCAGTACGAAATGGAAGATCCTCAGCATCCCCTTCAATAATTTTGCAGTCTTTCAAGGGCTCTTTCTGCTTAGCCTTAGCTAGCTGATGAGGCGATTGGTCCAGAATGGTTACATTTTTGGCGTCCACGTGCTTCACTATCCCCAAAGTGGTAAAACCAGTACCACCACCAACATCCACCACAATCATATTCCTATTGTGGAGATCTGCAGGCTCAAGAGCTTCATCCCTCATATCCTCAGTCCAATGCCCAGGGTTTATGATATGGTCGTACACAATCGACAGGAACCTATAGAACCAGAAGGCCTCTTTCTTGTGCTGAATGAACCTAAGCTGAGAAACTGGCCGCGAAGCAGAAAGATTACACTTGGGCGCCATGGACACGACCTTGGAACACCTAAAACTGGAAACTAGACCTAATTTGGGTAAAGTCTTCCCATGGAGATTCGAACCCGAAAAACCCAATCCATTCGGAACCAATCCTCTGGTGAGTTTGAGGCTTTCAGCTCCATTTAGCATTGCAGAAGCCATAATTTATAGCCACAAACAATCCAATAGGCAAAGATTGTGAGAATTGACAAAAAAAACGATGGATAGTTTCAAAACTTATCAAGAAAACCAACGACAAAAATCGACTAGTATACCCGTATGGACCAGAAATTGGGTGGAAGTGAATCGCTAACGTACATGCATGCAAAGGCGTGAAGGAATCTCTAAGGTGAGAGAGTCGATAATGTCAATGGAGCGACCAAGGGGAAAGCAGAGCTTACCGCTACGGCATCAACAGCTTAGCAGAGTGAGGCGGACAGTTGAGAGAGAATCGAATGAGGCGAGCAAATGTGTGGCGCTACTTCCTTGTTTGCTTCACACAAATTTCGTATAAGAAAAACGACTTATTTTCTTAAATTGCCTTTTTGTATGCTGTCTTATAACAAATAAATTGAATTTTTTTTTTTTAAAGTATATTTTAAATTAATAAAAACCATTTATGCCAAGATTCTAGACCCTTGCTCATTATTAGAAAAATAAATAAATAAATAATACATCTGCCCATTCCCATTTTTGTTTCTGATTTGCAGTATTTTAATTTTTCAGATCAAGAATTAGAAAAGGGAGAATAATGTTCAGAATTTCAAGAGAGTTCACATAAAATTACTTCAAATTTATTATTCCTTAAAGTTGTGCGTGGGAAGTTATAGAACCCAAACGGAAACCACATACAAGAAGAAGACCAAAATTACTTTCTTTCTCGTCTGTGGGATCAGATTTGTAGGTCCAAGAATGGTTCAGCCGTTAGTGTAAGCAGTGCGTTGCGGAGCTCCATTTTGGTTTATGGTAATGGCGTCGTCTTTCGATGGACAGCTCGTCCCCCAGCCTGCAATTGGTGTCGGAACCGTCGTTGACTCACGAGGAAAGCATCGCATTCTCGCGGAGCTCAAGCATCTTGAACAGGAACTCAGATACTTGCAGGTTTTGTGTTCACCTCTTTTCTCCCACGTTCACTTATTTGCTGTTTGTTTCCAGCATTTTCTCTAATTTCTCCAACAGTTCCAGCATTTGCCTGTTTTTGATCTTTGTATGAAAATTTCAAACCACGAAGGAAATTATGGCTCCTTTTCTAGGAAAAGATTCAGTAATAGCAAAACCGTAAGCCGCGATAGAAAGAAAAATCAGGCTTGTTTGCTTTCCCTTTGATGTTAACAAACTGAAGTAAGTAAAACAGCAAGGCAATGTTTTTTTTTTTTCTTTTTTCTTTTTCAAGAAGAGAAATTAGGCTTATTTGCTATTCCTTGGAGGTTTCAACAGAATCATCTGATGAATTGTTCAATAATTGCAGAATTTAAGACTTGAAGCGCTTATTTCCCGTTTAAGTAATATTATATGCGATCTACTATCTATGAATCTAAAATCAGCTAATAGCTCCATGAGAAGGGTATTTTTAACTTTGCTTCCAAATCCTCTATGTACTTGTATTGGTTTTTGATTGTGAATGCAGCTGCCTATTTGAGGTAGCTGTATACGTTTTGCTTACCTTCCATTCTTGAAGGTAAAATTGTCACTTAATTTCATTTGGGGAAGATCTAGAATTAACCAAACGAGCCTATTCTTCATTATTTTTAGTCTTCCTTCGTGCCATAGATCGACTTTAAAGCCTTTGTATCATTAATTTGGCTAACATAACAAGGAGCTGGGAACAAGCCGTGATTCCTCCTCTTTTACTTTGATATACCCTTTCAGATCGAGTTGATAACTGTGTTATAAATGTTTTATTTTTTATGTAAATTTCGATGCAGGAAGAGTTGGAGGAAGTTGAGAAAATGGGAAACATCTCATCTGTATGCAAAGAGTGAGTCAACCAGTCCTTACTCTTTTTCCCTTTCATTTCTGGTGCTGTGCAATTGAATTTTGATGAGGGAAAGAAGAAAGAATTTTGATGAGGTTGAATACAAATTTTTAAATGATCTTTTTTCGTGCTCTCAGTTTGCTTCCCTGCATCGAAACCAAATCAGACCCACTTTTGCCTGTGTAAGTTCCACACAACGCCCGCCCTCATCCATCTGGATCCGTTTTTGAATCAGCTTAATTTGTGTACAGGCTGAATGGTGTTGTAAATCCACTATGGGATCGCTGGTTTGAAGGATCCCCAAGCTCACCAGATTGTGGCTGCTGGATTCTCTGAACAGCAGGCTCTGCTCCCTTAAAACTTGGAAGATGTGTGAGATATATGACACTAATTGACATCTTCGAACACCGAGGCTTGGATTTCTGAGTGACTCATACCCAAGAATAGTTTAGTTTGGTGATAATTAATATCATGTCTAGTTCTACAGCACTACTAGTGCATTAGTTTTTTTCGCTCCTTGTAGATTGGAAACGTTGGCAGGACTTTACTTCTACACCTAGCTCAGCTGATATCTGTATAGTTATTGTGGAAGCAGCTCAATGGGCTAAAGACAATTCCTGCCCAAGTCCCTACAATATGGGGTCTGCTTGTTTCATTTGGGCCTTGAAATTTATAGATATAAAATTAAGCTCAGAAAACGTAGATTTATTAAATGTTTTTTTTTATATAGATTTAATAGTTTATTAAACACACTTATTTGAGGGACCTTAAATATGAGTCATTAAAAGTAGGAGAATTAGAAGTTATCATCAATATTGTCCTTGTAATTTGTGGTTCAAATTAGCCTAATCATATTCGTGTTTGGACACACTAGGAAACCCAGATTCCTGCGAAGTTGTGTAAATCTAGGAAAAAGAAGAAGAACGGAGCTTCTCCTGCGCTCGTGAAAACATTGAAAACAAAAACAATTAGGAGCTAAAATGGATGTGATTCAAAAATCTTGCTTTCTGCGTCTCTTTTCTTTAACTGATTCAGTTTGTCTGTGTCGTGTTTTTCTTTCTTTTTGCCTGCCAAAGAGTAAAGGAAGTAGGTTAGAATTCATTTTTTTAACTTTGAATTACCATGCCACGTGAAGGTAAAGAAGAAGAAGAAGAAGAAGAGTATACATAGTTTGTAACATGGCTGGTTGAGCGCTGGATCTTCGATTGAAGCTGGTGGGTCCTCTCCAAATTTCATCTCACAGCTCATGTCATCAAAATCTGCAAAGAAGAAGAAGACACGCTGCTTTGGTTGCTGCAAATGTTTGGTGATTGTGTAGCTTAGTGAGGAGACTTACTGGGGATCATGCTCACTGGCATTCCCAAAGAATCCTTGATGAAATCCTGAGTTGGAAACTTGCATAGATTAATGCACATTCCAACACAGTTTGTCTGCTCTAAGAACCTGCAAGTACAGAGGGCTTAGCTTAGAGGAAGCATAATAATAATAATAATAATAATAATTATACAACTCTGATACGAGACAGAGATACCTGCACTTGTGGATATGAACAACATTCCTCTCTCTTCTTCCATTCAACTCTGATTCCTTCACCTGCGTATCAAGTAGTTTTTTAAAAAAAAAATGTTCTTGAATCCCACGCGAAGTGAAAGGGGCTTCGGGTAAATTTACCTCGCAGGGTCCGACTAACCAAGCAAAGAAGACAGTGGTGAATGCGGCAAAATATTCTCTGGCGAATTTGGATTGTGGCAGCAATGTTCTTATCTGCACTTTGAGTAGAATGAAAAAACTAGACGTGATCCAAAAAGGGTATTAAATATGGTAATGAAGGAGGGTTTACCAAAGAGAGTATTGGCCTTGGAAACGCCCTTTGAAGTGCCTCAATCATGGCCTCTCTTTGTTTGATTTGGTTCAAATTTCTTGACGCCATTGTTGCCACTTCCACCAAGCTTTCATATCCACTTTTTTTGCTTCTCCAACCTGCAAACATATGGCCTACCCCATAACTCCATTTTACCATTTTATTAAAAGGAAACTAAAATGAATCACCTGAAGTTGCCTGTACTGCCTCAGATAGATGATCAATAGCCAACTTATCAAACCAATTATCTGTATAAACCGTATTGAGATTTCTCGTTCCTTCATTTCCTCCTCTCTCTGCCGCTCCGGTGAGCACTGCAACACAACAAGTGGTTTTCCTTCTCAACTTTCTTTTGTGGTTGCCCCTCAAGTTTCCCCAATTCCCCAAAAAGACCCTCCTTTCTTGAATTAATTTTACATCCATTTCCTTTTTGCAGAGACAAAAAAAAAAAAAAAAGTGTTTTTATAACTTTGTAGAGAGAGAAGAAGCAAGAAAAATGAGAGTTTGGGCTGAGAAGAAGGCGTGGTTGTATTTATACAGGCAATGGAAGATAAGATGATTTCAAGCTTGGAGCTTTGGACCATAAAAATGACAACTATATTTATATCCATTTAATTTATGGATTTAGAATAATGCTCTAAAAATTATGAATTGTATGTATTAATTCTTGGATTTATACAAAACAAATATTCTTCCCGGCTTTGGAAAGATGCCATTTGATTTGGGTTTGTACTTTTAAATAATGGAATTAACTCATTCTTAGCTTTATCCAACACAAATATTCTTTCCCGCTTACGAAATATTCCATTTTTTGATTCATAACAATGTCCTTTTCGATTTTATTTTGAAGAATCAATTGACATCTTCTATGAAAAATCCTCTTTTGGGACGGATATGCTGAGAAGATTCAAAAATAATAAAAAAGTATATATATACTTCAAATATGCATTGAAGTAGGGTAGTAAGAATGAAGATATGAAGTTGTAGAAAGTAAGGTAAATTAAAAACTATCCAACAAAACATAACAATCTTACACTGAACAAATATACTTGTCCAAATACACAAAAGAAGGAAGAGGGAAAATAATAACAAGGCTTCACAAAAGCATGCAAGGAATGAATGTGTCAATCCTTGGATGCCAGTAGTAAATGTCTGAAGATTAAGCTAAACTACTTAGTGATACAAGTGAATGTCTCAATCCTTGGAGGCTTTGTTAATGAGGGACTTGTGAATATGAGGAATCACACCACCTCCAGCAATGGTTCCTTTGATCAGGGTATCAAGCTCTTCGTCTCCTCTAATGGCCAGCTGAAGGTGTCTTGGAGTGATCCTCTTCACTTTCAGATCCTTGCTCGCATTTCCAGCCAACTCCAGCACTTCCGCGGTCAGATACTCCAGAATTGATGCTAGGTACACTGCAGCAGTCGCACCAACTCGCCCATTTGCAGATATTCTTGTTTTAAGATGCCTGTGAATTCGTCCCACTGGGAACTAGAACCCCACAATCCGGAGATTACATAAGTTAAAGTGACCCAACACTGGTGCGATTCAAGGCCCCAAATTAAGTGAAATCATTTGAACTCAACCCAAATGTAGCTTACAAATAAAACACTACAAGGGCATTTGAATTGTAAATTTTCAGCCCAGCCCACAAAACACTAGCTTACACTTTCGGCATAAAACAAATAATAGTTTACAGAAGATTACATTTCAGAGCCCCATGGAATAAAGATTAAACGAACAAATATCACAATACTCAGAGACACCAACGTCAATGAAATCATGTTAACTACAAAACACTAGTTAAATTCAAAGCACATGTTAACTACAAAATATCACAATACTCATAGTACATGGGCATTTGAATTCTAAACTTTTACAAAACACTAGTTAAATTCAAAGCTGTCAACAAAAAATGGCAATACAGTCGAAGTTCGAAGAACATAGATCACAAGGTGTAGATACATCAACATAGTTAGTTATACTAATCTTAACTACATGTTCCTCAAAAACTAGAGCATTTTAATTCAGAATTTTTCAGCCCAACCTACAAAAAAAGAAAAGAAAAAAAAAAAATCTAGCTTGCACTTTCTCACCTAAAAAAAAAAAAATTAAAATAGATTTCAGAGTCCCATGTTAAAGTTCAAGGCTGTCAATAAAAAAGGGTACAACATAATCGTACTAAGCTTAACTACAAGTAGATTAAAAAGTGAATTGCGAATTTTCAGCCCAACCCACAAAAACTAGCTTGCACATCCCTCCAAAAGCAGATAATTAGAAGAATTTTCGGAGACCCGTATTAAAATTCAAAGCTGTCAACAAAAAATTGTATTGTAGTACAAATTTAAGGAACACAGATCCACATTGGCAGATACATCAACATAATTGTACAAATCTCAACAACATGTAGCTTAAAAATAAAACTACATGGGGATTTGAATTGCGAATTGTTAGCCCAACCTATAAAAAACTAGCTTACACTTACCCTAAACCAAGAACTGAAAAATATTCTTACACTTACCCTAAACCAAGAACTGAAAAATATTTCAGAGCCCCATGTTAAAATTCTTAGGTATCAATAAAAAATGCTATCACAGAAACAATTTCAAGGAACAAAGATCGCAAAATACAGCAACATAAACATAACCTTATCTCAGTCGTTGTAATGTCCTTATACGAGTAAAATATCAAAATCATTCGAAATTTATAGATGTTCAGCAGATGAGGAAAAATTAAACATGCTTCGACGTTTCAATTGCTTCCAAATTTTGGAGGAAAAAAAGGCAAGAGTAAGAATTCAAAAGAACACCTGTATACCAGCACGGGAGGACCGAGAGATGGGCTTCTTCTTGTCCTTGTCCTTATCTTTGTTAGCAGCTGGAGTCTTTGCGGCTAAAAGCCCCTTGCCGCCTTTTCCCGCCATTTTTGAACCTGCAAAATGGTAGAAAGCATTCAGATAAACATCTGGAGCAGCGTAAAATCCCCGTTTAGTATATGGAAGACAGAAACAAAATGTGGAGATGAAAAGAAGAGAGAAAGAGGAGACCTGGAGATGGTGGAAGCAGAGAAGGAATGAGAGGAGTGAATTTTGAGCGGTTGTTGGATCGCTTTTGCTTTTTCAATGCCTTCCTTTCTCGTCTTGGCGGTTTAGTTTTGGTGGGAATTTAAAGTCCGAAAATTTCAAATTTCATATTTACACAAACACCCCTTGACTTTATCCATTTCTCGTACGATGGGCCTGTGGAGTATGGCCCATCTGGGTACCCATATTAAACTATACTTTGGGTTGGGCTTTTCCCTGGCTCCAACAGCTAACCTCCAAAGTTTTATTTTTTAAGATTTTCTTTTCTTTTCTTTTCTTTTTTAATTTAACCTGAGTTAAGCAAAGTTGGAAGGTTAAAGTAAAGTTGTTGGAAGGTTAAAGTAAAGTTGTTGGAAGGTTAAAGTGAAGGAGAGAAAAGTGAAGTAAAAGTTGGTGATTAAAGTCAAGGAATTTTATCAAATTTCAAAGATGTTCATGATCAAGAGTGGTGGCGTGGCAGTGAAAAGAATACAGTAACTTTTTTTTATTATTATTGAATCAAAAGCTCTTGATAAGTTGATTTGATTTATTAGTGTACTGTTGGGTTTTGAAATTTGATCATTATCAAACCTATTTTCATTAATTATTCTTTTTAATCAACAAATACATATTTATTGCTTCTATTATTCTAAACACCTTTTGTTAAGATGACGTTCTAATGTATAATCTAAATTATTCGCCGTTTTTAATAAAATTTGTATATTTATTAAACATACACTCGAATGGAAAGTTAACTTAAAAACAATTTATTTATTTATATTTTTGATTATTAGGGTTTGCCAAGAGACTTGCGGTAAAAAGATAAGGGGTAAATTTGATAATAAAGTATATCATATGGGAGCAGTTGTGCAAAAAATGTGAATCCATCCTTGTTACGTACTAGGAAGGTGTGGGGCCCAATGCGTTCCCCAAACAAAAAAGACGAACCACGAGTGCACTTAAAATGGCTACAAACGTGGTTCTCGATCTCTTGATGGACCCCACAAATATATATATATATAAAAGATAAATAATTATTAAATAAATCTCGTTTTCTAGGTGCTTCTCCATCTCTTCCTTTGGGTGTAATTTTTATTTTTACTTTTTTGTTTCTTCAAATTCAGTTTCATTATTTTCAGCTATCTTTAAATCCAGTTCTTTCTTTTAAAATTGGTCGAGGAGAGATTAATAAATATTTTATTTTTTTATCGTATAGTTTAATTTTTTTTTTTTAAGTAAAGTATAAACATTAAAATAGAATAAAACCCAAACCATCCATTTTAAAATGATGACTTCACCTTCTTTTTATTCATTAATTTAAATTTGATGTAACATGTAATTGAAATTTGAATGTTATTATGCGGAATTGTTAAAAATTAGGATTTGATCATTTAATGAATAAGTAAATTATAGGCAATAAAGTTGTCGGTGAAAGTTATCTTTTATTTGATTTTAAATATTAATTATATTAGGAGAAAGTAGCGTAAATATTCACTTATTATATATATATATATACAGGACCTTGGAATTGAATGGCAAGCTATTAACCCTACTTTATCCAATGTCAAAAAAATAACACCTAAAGTGGGGAAAAAGGCAAACCCTTCACGGGAAATTAGGAATTATAGCTTCTTTTTTTTCCCTCTTTAATTACAAGCCAATAGAGAGACGTAAAAAGGTAGGTTAAATTTATTTATTTATTTTTATATTATAAATTTAGTGAACTACTTTTAATTTTTTATGGAATAAATTTTTAGTGCAATAGTTTAGCTACGAATAAGTTTTCAGTTTTTTAAAAATTAATTGATCGGTCAGATATAAATTTAATTGGTATGAAGTCTAAATTTCATCTTCAAACAGTCCCAACCAATTATGAAGAAAAAGATAGCACCCAAAAACTTGACCAAAAATATGTTGATTAGCTATTGTTCAATGGATGACTTTCATCCCAACATTATACACACAAACACACATAATAATTACTACATTTACAAAAACAATAGGGATGACCTACCATTTTTGGATTGCTTAATCATTAAGGAAGCAAATCAAAGCGTAGCCGGACATATATTTCATACGTTATATTGAAAGAAAAAAAATACAAAACTAGAAGAAGTACTCGTGAAGCCCTTAAATTCGATCTTCATGATACTATTTTTAAAAAAGTTGTATTAAAATTAGCAAGGGATTGAAACATGCATAAGTTTTATTAATTTAACAATACTTAAAAAAAGAAAATACTTGACTTTCATTCTAAGTATAGTTGAAAGTGTCCAAATATAGTTTTTCAGATTTAAAGTTAATTTGGTTTGCAGGTTTTGTGGAAAAATAAGCAAATGGAATTGGGAGTGGGAAGTGGTTACATTGTTATGTAGGGGATGGGGATTTGGGTTTGGGATAAATTAATTCCAACTTTTCTATGTTTGGTTTTAGAAGAAAATAGAGAGAGGGGGACACGTGTGACGTGGTTTTTGGTTTGAAGGAAAGATGTGAAGTGATGGTACCATCATCCATCACCAACTTCTTATATTCGGTTCTATTATTTGACTAAGCAAAGCAACCCCAAATTATTACAAATACTTTGCTTATTATTCTTCTTTTATTTATTGGTTTATTTCCTACCAACTTATTTACTGCCATATTCTCCTAACACGTCTTTAATGTTATATAAATACTAACTACATTAAACCACACAACTTATTTGATGCAATCCATGGCATGATATGAGATCATTGACGTGCATACGACGCCGTTTAACCATCTCACTTGCCCCAACCCTAATACCCAACGCCAATGCACTCCTTTCCAACCTTCGTAAGCCCATCACCTGATGCTCACATGGGACCCACCCTTCCTCTCTTTTATTTTTGGATTCTAAAAAACAAAGAAAAATCGAAATGGATAATGTGGGGACGTATACAAAATTAGAGTTTTTATTTTATTTGTTTATTTATGATTCAAACACAAGGAACTCGATAATGACCTCTTCCTCCTTCCGCCTTCTGGTCGGCATTTCAGACATAATTAAGCCCTCTCTCTCTGGACGACGGAGGCTATTATCGTCATTACGCACCGACACGAGAACCTCACTGGAGTGGTTGGTTGGTTTTCTTCGGCTGCCCTTCGCCCACGCCACAGGATCATGTGGGGGTTGTGAACGCCTCCGTGTGTGAGGGCCTGCTGCTAAACTCCTCATTTTCAAATTTTACACCCTTTTTGCCACATACCATCGTCATCTAAACATAACGTGGAAGCAATTTGGTTGATTGCCCGACACGTGGTCCTTGGAGTAATTAACATCGTATTAATGCCACGTCGGAAATCCCACGTGGATACATTTCCTACTCAGCACCCCCCGCGTTTCTCTTTTTAAGGTCCTCAAACGCGCCTTGCGTCTCTTCCATCCTTCACTGAAAGAGAGCCGAGAGAGTACTCAAAGCCGAGTTCATTTCTACGTTTTTCTTACCCGCCTCCATGCTGTACCTCGCCCGCAACTTTATTTCTTGCCGGAAATTATGGAGTTTCTGAGGGTCGCTTGCGTTGCAGATACGGCCTGTGCACTCTCCCCGTATCTGGTTTCCGCAAACGAAAGCGACTTTACTTGGCCGTGTTTTGAAGTTATTCCATATTCTGTTTAGAAAACTAGAAAAGGAACTACAATATAATCATAGGGATTGGGATTTTGATTTTGAGCTTATCTCAAATTCGTCTGTGTACATATAGTTTTGGGGGCAAAACTCTGGATTTCTGTGTCAATTTTATTTCCTGATATCCGTATTGAGATACGCTTCAGAGATGTCGGTGATGATTCTAATCCAACTCTAGGCTGTGGAACTCACATTTCCCGTCTTCCTAGTATAACATCGTTTTTCTAATTGGTTCTGCAAACACAATTTTCTGTTCTCGAATCCTGAGTTAAATGAAGGAATTGAAGAATACGAGCTTCAATTTTGGAAAATGATGAAGATAATTGTTGTTGGGATCTGACTATCTGTGGAGGTGCTTAAATTCGCTCGAGAGAGATTACCGGTCGCTGGTTGCTCTCAACATGCCTTTTCAAATGAAAATCCAGCCAATCGATTTTGACACAACCGACGAAGCAGCTCGCTTCGAGTTGGTGAAGCCGGCCGCGAAGTCGAAATTGAAGCGGCTATTTGAGAGACAGTTCCCAAACGTACTGAGAAATTCCGCAGAGAAACTCAATTTTGAAGAATTAAGCGTCAACAAGGAAAGCTCCGACGAATTCTCTGAGTTAGAGCCTAGCTCTATATGCTTGGCAAATATGGTCCAGAATTTCTTAGAGGACAACAATGAGAAACAATTCAGCGGGTCTAGGTGCGGCCGCAGTCGCTGCAACTGCTTTAATGGAAACTATACGGACAGCTCCGACGAGGAATTTGATCCACAAAGTGGTTTTGGCGATTCCAAATTTTCTTCCGGTGGTGAGGCATGGGAACTTCTGAAGGTACAACAGATCATTTTTGTTTGTTTTTGTTTGAATTGTGGATTTTCATTCTTTTATTTTTCCCTTCATGGTAAATGTTTCTTGTTTCTATCATTTTGAAAAACATTTTCATATTCGAACAGAGCTTAATTCCCTGTTCGAGCGTTCATGAGAGGAACATATTAGCGGATACTGCCAGGATCGTAGAGAAGAACAAGGTCTGCAAACGTAAAGACAACTTAGCAAGGGAGATTGTTACTAATGGATTGCTGGCTCTTGGATACGACGCTTCAATCTGCAAATCTCACTGGGAAAAGTCGCCCTCATATCCAGCCGGTATATTTCTTACTTACTATTCTTGTTGATTGTGGGAAAATATTAGGTTTTTGAATTTGAATTCGAGCGGTTCATCCATCATTTTCCTTTTTCTCCTGAAGTTTATATAATTTGGTTAATCTGGAGAAAACCTAGGATTCTTGGACCGGGCCGCGTCTATTCTTCTCTTTAAATTTGAATTTCATTAGGCAACTGAACTCTGATTGTTTCTGATTATAGTTGATTGAAATCCGTTTTTTCTGATGTACCAGGTGATTATGAATACGTTGACGTAATTATCGAAGGAGAACGCTTATTGATAGACATCGACTTCCGATCAGAATTCGAAATTGCGCGGTCAACCAAAAGCTACAAATCGATCCTCCAACTTATTCCTTACATCTTCGTCGGCAAGGCTTGTCGGCTTCAGAGGATTGTATCAATCGTATCAGAGGCTGCAAAACAGAGCTTAAAAAAGAAGGGGATGCCAGTTCCGCCATGGAGAAAAGCCGAGTATGTCAAAGCGAAGTGGCTCTCTCCTCATAGTCGTGCATCATCCTTGGCGATTTTGGGTTCTAATCCTGAGTCGAAGAATCCTCTTGAAAACATCCAAATTGATCCATCGCACAGTCACGACGTTGAGAAATCGACGGATCATAACGAATTCGTGGAGAATGCTGCCGTTGTGAAAGAGTGGAAGCCTCCAGAGCTTAAGCCGAAAAGCTCATCGGTTGGGGTTAGAAATCTTAAGATTGTAACCGGTTTGGCATCGGTTATTGAAGACTAGGCTTGAAATTTTTGGTTTTCTTTCCTTCTCTCTTTTTTTGAGTTTTTGACTGCCGTATAAACAAATAGCTATATACAGCCTACCAACGGTGACTCGTGTTAACCTTCAAATTCCCTTCTGTTTTTTTGTGTAAGGGTTTGGGTTTGGGTTTGGATATTACTGGTATCAATAAAATCTGAAGCGTGAATAGTTGACAGTTATCAAGTTTGTAAAAGCCTTCTCCTTCAATCCCCCCTCCGCTCTCTCTCTCTCTCTCTCTCTCTCTGGACTATTATTCTTCAATGACTTTCTTTTCAGGGAACAAGGGTTTGATATTCCAGCGCTGAAAATCTTGTTTGTTCTTGAGGTTGGCAGGAACAGATTTGATGATTGAAGAAGGTTACATAAAGCCTTGTTGCCTCGAGCACCGTGAGGTGAGTTAATAATTCTTCTTCTTTCCTTTTTATGTTGAAGATAAAATGGCCCCTCTGACATATCCATATTCTTTCCATCCTCCTGCAGCTGGAAGATAGTGTGATATAATGATGAATGATTCCAGGTCCTGATTTACGAGACCATACGCCTCATTTCTCCTGAGTCTCTTTAATGTCTATAATATTTTGTTAATAGTTCATTAGCATTAATGATTTATCTATTTGTCTTGGGTGGATGAGTTCAGAAATATTAGCCATATTTAGAAATGTGTGCACAGATATAAAATGGTTGAGAGAAGGGAAAACCAAATTTGTTTCAGTTGAACATAGCTTTCTGGTGTTCTGAAGTTGATGATGTTGTGGGGTATGGTTTAGATATGTATAATCTGAGGTTGGTTACTGATGAATATGGGGTAGAATTCACTGTTCAGCATGTGGGCCTCTAACTCCATACTTCCTTCCCTCCCCCATGGTTTAAGGATCTTACACCATTTTTGTGGAAGCAAACAAAGAAAGGGAAGGTGGGAGTGGGGCTAAGAAACAGAACTTTCGTTTGCAAAATTTGGGTGGCATAGCTGAAAAAGGATAAAATAAAGGAGGGTACTAGGAGGTGGTGGGTGGTTTTACATTTATTATAGGCTGCTTCCTCACAGCCATGCCCAGAACTATACCGTAATTACTATTTTGCTCAAATGGACTTCCCGTGCACCATTTGTTTTGTTTTTTAAGCAAAACACTGTCGCTCTTAAAAGTCCCCCATTACATTTACTTTTTAACCTCCTCCCTTTCTGATTTGAGTGGGTAGGTTGGGTTTCTGGCTGTGCCCACTGACCTAATTAAAGAATGACTTTATGTCCATCCAGTTTCAACAGGTTATGTTATTAAATAGTTCAATATTCTAAAAGTTGTCGTTTCTGCTATTTTGTACAATAGGAATCAGCTTACCTTCTACCTTGAAATTTGCACTACGTTATTCTCCTCTGGTTTATTGTTATTATTTTCTCCAATTAGACTTGATTTACTTTAATAGGATTATGTATTGATTTTTATTATGCTATTTCTTACGCGTCTTTGAAAAAAGAAAAAGAAGAAGAAGAAAAAGAAAAAGAAAAAGAAAAATCTAGTGTGGGTCCTTGACTTATACTTCAGAATTGAATTTGGTGGTCTTAAACCTTGTGGAGATATGATAGAATGAAGGTTATTTCAACATTAGACTTTAATGTTGACACCAGGAGAGAGACATCCCACCAAAAACCTCATTGTTGGCCGGTGCAGAAGGTTTAATTGTTGTTTCTGAAATGATGTTCAAGCCTTCTTTTTTGGTTGAAATGGTACTCAACCTTGTTTCATATCTCTATTATAAACATTAAAAATATATCTTTTTGTAGAAACTACAGATGGTTGAAGGAAACGCAACCAAACCAACAGCCACAACTATACCCCCCCTCGAGGATGAGGGACAAAACAGAAGCTACAAAACTCTTTTCCAGACTGAAGAAGAAAATGTCAAAGCTACTAACTCACTGGCAGCTTTGTTCCTCTCTCTAGGGATCTTACAAGAACTAACAATATTTACCGAAGTTGCAAGATGAGAATGACTTTGGTTTCCACATGTTAAGGGTCTCTATTTTGTTGAATTGTGATGCCGAAGTAGTCAAGGAAAGGTTCATTTCCATTTCCCAAACCAATTTCCAAAGGGGATATTAAGAATGGCCTCTGCATCACGAGGGAGAAGAACTTGTTTAATGATCCTGTCGTCCCAGCGCGATGATCTGCCACGCGTTTGTTGTTCTTAGTATCATGGGTCAAACTAATCCCTTGAAGTTTCCCAAGTCAGGTACCCACGTATCTTCCACGATATAAATGTCTTCCAAGTTTTCTCTTCTCGTCTTACTTTTGCTTGACGTGCTTCTATTTCAGGAATGTCTTAAAAACAAGAAAGCAAAAGGAAAAAACAGAAAAAGCAGAGCCTTGCCCAATATCGGGTAACTCTCTTTTTCTCGATTTTATGATAGTTGGGTTACTTGCTACCGTATTTTAAGGTAGCAGCTTATCCTTTTTACTCCACCCTTCAGAAAAAAAGGAAATGTATATGATATAAATATCAAATTACAAGTTTAGTATGCTTTTTGTTAATTCATTTGATGAGTGGATATTTAAAACTACAAGTAGGGAGCTAAACGTGGGCATACATTGCATATATATATATGTAGAGAGACCCAACTTGATGATCTTCCTCTTTGTTTCACGTAGTTAAGTTCTAAATAATACACATCTGCGTGTGAGGAAATGTTGATAAAGAGAGGTTTATTGGAAGTAGGCAAGGCAGGCTGCACATTCCTTTTAGACATAAGGATTCTGCCCCTTTTGCTAAGCCAAGCAAAGCAAAGGTAAAAGGTATCGGTCTAACTCAATTTTTTTGCGCTATTCACACTCTATTCCCCCGATCGCACGCACAGATTTGGGGATCTGAATGAACACACCTCCACCCTCCTCTTGCATGATTGCATCTCAGATTTTTAAATTTGGCTATAATTAAAAGAAAAAAACAACTGAGGGTCAATTAGTAATGATATAATTATGGAGTAGATTTGAAAATTGTTCCGCATTAAATGACCATATTTAAATATGCTTTAGATTTGAACAAATTAATAGTAATAAAATAAATAAATAAATAAATATGGATGAGGGAATCAATGAAGAGGGAATTGATAAGAACAAATCTCAAATTTTTCAAAAGGTATAACATTGAAGTTTAAATCAAAGAATTCACTAGGCATTAATAAAAAAACAAAAACAAAATGCTGTATTTAAATCACATTAATAAAAATAGAATGGAAATTATTTATTGGAAATATATTTAAATCACATCCGTCAATTTTTGTTGACGAACCAAACAAAAACCGAACTAACTAATTCAGCATATAAAACCGCATTTAGCCGCCAAAATTTATCCTGGTTTCTCCCAAATCGACAAAGCAGTGGCTGTCCAATGGCTGCCTTTATGTCCATTTTGAGACGAAGCGAGCGCGGGCGCAATGTGAGCTCACTACTGCCGCCGCTGAGAATCGAAACTGGACTACACCCAGGTTGAATACTTGATAATCATCATTTTCTTTCCATTTTTTGAATTTGAGATTTGAGATTTTCCTTCCATTCACTTGATAATCTAGGGGTTTGCATGTTATATATGATAACCCTTGGTTTACAAAGCTCTGTGGAAAGTGTTTAACCCTTTCCCGGCAACGCCTTTTTGACCCTTGGGTTCGGTTAGGAATCACGAATCTCCATAATGGTACGATATTGTCCACTTTGAGCATAAGCTCTCGTGACTTTGCTTTGGGCTTCCCTAAAAGGCCTTGTGCCAATAGAGATAACATTCCTCTTAACTTCACTCCCAACCATCCTGTTCATGAATGTATTTGTAGTTACATTGCACTTTCTTGCTGGGCTTGTTGTTCCGGATGTTCCTCTTGGGAAGACTGAAATTTTTAGGCAACATTGAGCTGGTGAATTCTTTTTCTCATGTTGAATGCATTATCTATATCAAAATTATGTCCCTCATTTATGTGTTCTGATATTGACTTTGATTTTAAATCATTAGTTGTTGGTATACATTATCCATTTGTGTGGTAATGCTCTGTTCACAAAATTAGAAGAAAGTTGTCTGTTTCTATATAATCGCTTCTTCTAAAGGTGCTCCTAACTACACCAACTCCACAAACAATCTGGAGAAGGAGACAGCCCTACTCCCAAAATCTCTAACCCATTTGATCAAGTTTCTCATCAACAGTTGTCCTAACACCTCTAATACATTATCTGCCTTATTTGTGTCGGGTTTTAAGTATAAAATCTCTTTCATTCATGGTGGTATCAAAGAGAGTATAACATAGGTACAACAAGATAAAATAAGTAAAGAAAAAGGTTGGAAGGAAAATGAAAGAAAACCAACCAAGTAGATATTAAGCAAATGGTAGAGCTAGGTATGAATATCGATCCTCAAGCAATTAATAATGGTACATCTTGTACCACAAACAAGACTTCGATATTGTTGGCTACCTTTTCCCCAATGGTCCAAAATGAAAGTATTACATTAAAGTTATGAAAAGTGCTTCTATCTGTGCATGGGACTTTGAAGAATAATTTGTTTGGAGGTATGTGTAGGGTTGCTATCGAGGCCCAGTGCCATGCATATTCTTCAATTTGGAAATTTGTTGTACCGCACAATTCTCTTTCACACCCATCATTGCAATGCCACTACTCCTCCCGTCAATTATTGTTATTCTTATCTCATTAATTTTGGTGGCCTTAATATTCATTACTGTTTTCTCTCTTTTAAATTTATTCTGCATATCAAGTTCATGCATTTAAGGTATTCAGCTACATGGAATTTATGACCAATAATGTCAAGAATTTTTGCTGTGATTTTGATCATTCTATGGATATCTGTTAAAATGTGTGTAGCTCAACCACAGATCAATTAATTTTGGTACCCTAACAATTCCCTCTTAAAATACACTACCTTTGTGGTTATCGTTTCAACCAAGAACGACACACAGCCACCAAGCTCTCAAAGCTCCTGTAAGAGAGAGAAGGAAACGATGTCGTTTGAGGAGACAGAGCTGAGGCTGGGGTTGCCTGGAAATGGAAGAGAAATGGCCAGGAAGAGAGGATTCCATGAAACAGCAGCTGAAACAATGATAACAATGGCAGAGTTGAAGTTAGAAGCATCCTATGGGTTGGATCCAAATCCCAAGCCCCCTCCACCCAAGTAAGTATCTCGTTGTTTCCTTTGCTCTGACCTCAAATACATGAGACTTGGCCTTGGTTTTCTTAACTAACAACATATTACAATATATTTGGCTGGATAAAGGTTTTTTTTTGGGTGATAAAAGTAGGAGAAGAAAAGTGTGGAAGGTTGTTATTGGTGTAAACTTTTAAATTTGCAGGGGACAGGTTGTGGGGTGGCCACCAATAAGGTCATACAGAAAGAACAGATTGAGCCTCCAAAAGGGCACCACATCTGAGGATGAAATAATTAGTGATGAACAGAAGAATATTGGGAACGCAGCAGCAGCAGTCAGGTTCGTGAAGGTTAGCCTTGATGGAGCACCTTATCTTCGCAAAGTGGACTTCAGCAGGTACAGCAGCTACAAACAACTCTCTGATGCCCTCGCCAAACTCTTTGGCCCTTTCACCATTGGTAAATTTTGTTCACTTCTAAAACTCTTTCCCACCAATAAATGCAAATGATGATGTCTTCTCCTCTGATGTTTCTCATAAGGAAACTGTGGATCCCAAGCAGCTGGGATGAAAGATTTCATGAATGAAAGCAAGCTAATAGATCTTTTAAATGGCTCTGATTATGTTCCAACCTATCAAGACAGGGATGGTGATTGGATGCTGGTTGGTGATGTTCCATGGCAGTAAGTCTTATTTTTTCTTGCATAACGGCCATTATATTTCAAATACTTGGTTTTGGTCTTCCAATACTCAACTTATTATATCATACGATTGTGTTTCGATATGATTCAGGATGTTTGTTGGATCTTGCAAGCGTCTACGCATAATGAAAGGAAAAGAAGCCGTTGGACTTGGTAAGATTCATAGACTTGCATTTCCTTCTTTTGTTTTTACTTCAACTTCAAATTGAATCATATAATCTAATATTTGAACTAATTTGATTGTGGGGTTTCAGCACCAAGGGCTGTAGAGAAGTGCAAGAACTACAAAGGCTAACTTCACCTATAATGTTTCAAATTAATATGGTCTGGTTTTGAGGACAGATGGGTCGGTGTCTTTATATTATCCAAAGATAGCTAATGGGGTTGGTTGGAATGAATTATGTCAAATTGGGAGATTAATTTGTATGTATATTTAAATTAGATATAATGTATAATGTATCTTTGTGCGTATACAATATGGCCTACTTCTGTAGTAATTAAATTGCTTTGTGTGTTTATGTGAAGTTGGTCTTTTCATTCCCTTGGGCCTTTTGCAACAAAAGTTGACCATTTTACCATATGTTAAAATTCTAGCAAAAAAAAAAATGCAAAAATCGTCTTTTAGAGATTGCAATACCCTAAAATAAAAATCATACTCATCTCATCATCATTTCGATTTTGCTCTAGCTAAATGCTCTTTTGACTAAGAGATTATAATTTATACGTGCTTCACTTTGTAGATAAGATTGCTGTTCTCTAGAAATATTCCAATTATGAAGATGTAGACTCGTGGTTTATAATAATGGACTAATGAGAATGTTCATCTTTCATTTGTATTTGTAGGGTCAATTTCATACTCAAGTCTTGGCATTTTGTTTAGCGTAGATGGTTGATATTTTTAAAAGTTATTGAAATAAAAGTTAATTTTAAAAGAAGAGGAGCATTGTAAGTTTTTTTTTTTTTTAATTTAATCTTAAATTAAAACCATTTATTGATCTTTAAAAAAGACATATTATTGAAAGTTAATAATAATAATAATATCATTATTATTAGTTAAAAGAGCTCATTGTCACAACCTTACTATGAAGAGAGTAGGTTGTGACCCTCACGCCATGACAAGCAAAGGGGGCGTCCCTCAAGAGACGCCCATCCGGCCATATGCGGGCCAACGTACAAGAATGTCATGATGCGATTGAGGAGGACGATGCATCATCCAACACACCACCACGCAAAGTGGGCATTGAAGACATGTTGAGACCCAAGCATAACAGAGACATCAGCATAGACATGAAGGACAAGATAGGCTTGTTGAAGGGCCGGGTAGGGCCCCGGACCTTAACCTCAAAAGTCGAGGTTTCGGAAGGAATTTGGGCATGCGGTTCAGGAGTTAAGTCCGTCCATATGAAATATGAATGCTCGCCAAGTTTGGTGTCAATCGGACATGGGACGGACAATGCACGACACCGTATGACACCTCACGAAAATCATGTCTACTCCTGGTAGAATGAAAATGGCTCAAAATGTACTATAGGGGTACCATGGTGTTAGCTCTCCACCACCCCTGGGCCCTGTGGCCTAAGTGAGCTACCCTGTGGCTCATACGTGTGTCACAGTGTGGGCGAGCGTGCCGAGACGAGTGTCTCGGGGCGACTTCCTTTGAAATGGGTTTTTGAAGGACAATACCGGACGGCACGGGTGTGCCGGTATTGCGCCCTAGCCCGCGTGTTGGAGGTTGCTACATACACCCGCTATCCGGTACGGTATCCGCAAATGACTCGGCATGGGCACGGGAGGGCCTATGCCTCGATAGAACCCGGATGGATGGATGTTCAGGAAGTCCCGATGAGATGAACGACACGTGGGCCCATTCTCGATGACATGACCGAACGAGTTATGATGAGCGACGACATCCCGAGACTCGGGATGGCGTCAAGACATATGGACCTGTCGATGGGGATCGAGATGGCAAGATGAGATGCGACGTTGTATTGAGAGACCTTGGCCCGAGCAGAGGCAAGGTCGAGCCGAATGGGTTGGCCTAGCGTAGAGGCAAGTCGAATGTGTCGCAGATGATTGAACATACACGCACAGGCGGCGTGTGTGGTTGAACAAGCTTGGATTCCGCACAAGCGATGTTCGATTGGCGAAGGCAAACCTCGCCTAAGGTCTGACGAAGCCACAAAGCCGGGGCGAAAAATATAATGGGGCTTAATTCCCCTTAAGGCTGGTCGTGAGCGTGTATAGATCACGACGCCGCACGATCAAGAATGTAGGACCGTGACAGTTGGTATCAGAGCCACACTTTGTGTGTCTAGTCGGGCAAGATAGTCAAGAGAAACAAACCCAAGAGTTGATCGAAGACCTTGCAAGTGTGTCAAGAGTGCCGTAATGGGCAGGACAGTTGCCGGTCAGAATTATAATCAGTTGGGGGTTGAGCCAAGACTACCCGAAATTCATTAGTGTCGTGTGTCGACACCTCAATATGGGAAGATCTACCCGTCAAACAAAAACCAAGCTCACCTGAGAAGAGCTTGCAGGTTCGAAGTAGACAAGCCAGATGAAACAGAAAGCACCATGACGGTGCCTTCCAAAGAACCATTCACATTGGAGGAATAGTGTCAGTGGTTGCAAGCAGAGAAGCCGAGAGCCAAGAAAAGACAAACGTCGGCCGAGTGCAAGAGCCGTATACAATGTAAGTCCTTATGGGGGGACGACCTTGCTGCAAAGAGGCAGCTGAGTTCGAACGGGGGAGAGCAACATCAATAAGTCTCTCACCCCGTAAAGGTGCTCGGACATACGAGCACACGTGTATTCCTTGAGTCACCACCTTGTGCCTAGGGTGGATGACTCCACCAACAGATGTCAAGACTAGTATCCGCTCGAGAAGTGAGCAACAAGCTGGAAGTTCACGCACAACAGTAGTCACACGATGTGACAAAATACAAAGAGTTGGCCGAAAGTTAGCGCCAACAACTGAAGGGACTATCAAAGAGTTGACTTTGCTCAATAGGAGGAGTGGTCGCAACCAAAGAGTGTTGCGGCCAGGCTTGCGAGCCTCACCCCAGGGGGTGAATTAATTCATAGGAGAAGTGGTCGCAACCAAAGAGTGTCGCGGCTGGGCTTTCGAGCCCCACCCCGAGGGGTGCACTAGTTTATGTGATCCAAAGAGGATGCACACACTGAGGCCAAGTTGGCCAAAATAGGGCAAAAGTGCCCTCTGAAGTCCATACTTGTCTGGTGAGTGTCTGCAAAGAGAGTCGGCCTCACCCACAACTATGGCAAACGCTGAAGAGTCACGTCTACGTTGTGAGTCTCGGTGGCCGAGTCCAAGATGGGCGAACAACAGAAATAGGTCCGAATGGGGATACCGTAGATAAAGGAACAAGCCTAAGTGAGGACAAATTCACCACAACAACTGACCAAGTCAAGAGTCAGAACGTGGTGCCACCTGACAAAAGAGAAGTCAGAAGCATCCACTCGAACTTGTCCCAAGTTGGCATAAGACGTCAGCAGGGAGAGCATTATGACAAAAGATCGTCAGGTGCTCAACAATAGAAGATTTTTCTAAAGCACAACCAAATCCAGCGAGTCAAGTCGCCAACAGACAAAGAGTTGGATCGTCATCGGGACGATGCCGAGATTGAGTGGGGGAGAACTTCACAATAGGTGGGGCGAACGCGCTCGAGAAAGTCATCGAGGACGATGACTAAATCAAGTAGGGGAGAATGTCACAATCCGCAATATGATTGTGACCCGAGTAAGTCATCGAGGACGATGACTAAGTTAAGTGGGGGAGAATGTCACAACCTTACTATGAAGAGAGTCCCGAGACACTGTCCGTCCCATGTCATACGGTGTCGTGCATTGTCCGTCCCATGTCCGATTGACACCAAACTTGGCGAGCATTCATATTTCATATGGACGGACTTAACTCCTGAACCGCATGCCCAAATTCCTTCCAAAACCTCGACTTTTGAGGTTAAGGCCCGGGGCCCTACCCGGCCCTTCAACAAGNTTCTGAAGCACAACCAAATCCAGCGAGTCAAGTCGCCAACAGACAAAGAGTTGGATCGTCATCGGGACGATGCCGAGATTGAGTGGGGGAGAACTTCACAATAGGTGGGGCGAACGCGCTCGAGAAAGTCATCGAGGACGATGACTAAATCAAGTAGGGGAGAATGTCACAATCCGCAATATGATTGTGACACCCAGCCCACCTTTTTTTTTGTTAATACAACAAAACTGAGCCCATTTGTAAAATAAAATAAAAAAGAATAAAAGAATGGAAAACCTAACCCCTCCACTCCACTCCCTCTTCACGCCCTCGTCCTCTCCTCCTCCGTTTCAGCACCTCGGTGTCGCCGCCGCCATTGTCTTTCTTCCGTCCGTGGCACCGTAGTTTCCTCCTTCTTAAGGGTTTTGCATTGTTTTTCTACTCCCTTGTTGCTACAGGTATTATCCCAATCTCCATGCATGTCTTTATTCTCACTTGAGTAACACAAATTAAAACTTGTTTAATTGAAGAATGGAGGATTCTTTTCTGAATAAGAATTGCCGAATAGTAACGAAAATGAAAGCAGCCATGCGTCAAATTGGGACGTGGTTTGTGTGTTGGCTGTTCTGATTTTCATGATTAACCAACACTCGTAAAAATCCTCAAATGAAATAAAAATGGCAAAATAGATATATCATTCAAAAGTAGATGGCAAAATCTCCTATAGTGCCTTACGTAGTATAGATTGTAAATGGGTTTTCAGGAATCAGAGTTTCTCCTTTTGTTGAGTCCGTTGTAGCCTACACTGATAATGCATCGGCTCATTCTGTGAAGGACTTTCGATGTACTGAGCATTTGGGTTATGAGATGTTTTACTTCTTATCGAGTTTTGGTTCAGCTGTCGATATGGTTGATTTTGCAGGAGCTGAGTGGAAGATGAGTTTAATATCTCAAAGTGTTGCTGCAATTAGTAATCTTGAGAAGGTTACAGGGGAGACAATCGTTGGCTCGTCATCTCCTTTGAGAAACCTAGATGCTAGTGATGTAGAAATGTCTGGTGCAGATACTACTAGGCCAAAAAAGAGAAAGAAAGAACACAAAAAAGAAGATGCACAACTGGTAAAAGAACAACAACAGGAAATGAAGAACCTTGAAAACTTTCTATTTGGATCACTTTATTCCCCTGTTGAATTTGGGAAACATGAAGAGGTAAACGGTTTGAGTGGGGAGGAAAAAGAAGCTCCTGCTTTGTATATAATGGACCGCTCTGCAAATAGCTCCCTTTCTGCATATGAAGGTGATTTTGGGCTCCTAGACGAGAGTGTTAATGAGGAGGAACCTCAGCAAAGAAAACCAGTCTGGATCGACGAGGAAGAGGAGAAGGCCACTGTTAATATTACTAATGTTAGTAGACTGAGAAAATTGAGGAAGGAAGAGGATGAGAAATCGATTTCAGGCTCCGAGTATGTGTCCAGACTGAGGGCTCAACATGCAAAGCTAAATCCAAGCACTGAGTGGGCTCAACTTGATGTACAAACCCGTGGTG